TTTGCATCCTGGGTATCAAACTCAAGTGGCCAGGCATTGTGGCAGGCACCTTTACCTGCTAAGCTATCTGCCAGCCCCGGAGTGTTTTTTTAATCATATGGATAAAGAAGAAAGGGCTGGAGAGAGGCTCGGCAATTAAGACTACTTGCCGCTCTCCCAGATGACTGTATTAGTCAGGGTTCTCTAGAGACAGAGAACTTATGGAATGAAGCTCTCTGTCTCCCTCTCTCTCTATATATATATATATATATATATAATCTCTGTTATAAAGGTTTATTCATTCATATATTCATGTATATGGGAATTTATTGGAATGACTTACAGGCTGCCCTCCAAACATGGCTAGCTGTGAATGGAAAGTTCAAGAATCCAGCAGTTGTTCACCCACAAGGCTGGGTGTCTCAGTTAGTCTTTTCTACATGCTGGAATCTCGAAGTAGGCGCCAATGCCAGTGAAGGAATGGATGTGTTGACAAGGCCTGGGCAAGCAGACAAAGAATGAATGAGCCTTTCCTTCTTCCATGGTCCTTATGTAGGCTTCCACCAGAAATTGTGGCCCAGATTAAATTGTGCCTTCCCAGAGCCTCCAGATCTGAATTAAAAGAGTGTGTCATCCAGGCTCAACATCTAGATCAAAAGCCTGTGTCTTCCTACCTCAAGATCCAGATCACAAGTGTGCCTCCATTTCTGTATTGTAGTTCATTTCAGGTATAGTCAAGCTGACCGCCGAGAATAGCCATCACAATGACCCCAGTTTGCTCCCCATGCTGGGATGCTTACAATCACTGGAATTCCTGCTCCGGGGTCTACAATGCCCTCTTCTGGCCTTTGAGGGTACCAACACACATGCAGCATGCACTCACATAGACAAGCACACACATAGATAAATAAAAAAAAATACAAAACCCATCTCCTAAAATAGAGACAAACCAGTCTTCAATAACACCCATTTCCCTTTAGAGGCTCATTGTGAGTAAAGAGGTGAGAGACATTTTTTCTCTCTCTCTCTTGTAAGTTTTTTTTTTAAGTTATTTATTTTATGTGTATGAGTGTTCTGTCTGCATGTGTGTATGTGTGATGTATGTGTACCAGGTGCATGCCTGGTGCCAGTAGAAATCAGAAGAAATTTTTGGATTCCCTGGAACTGGAGTTAGGATGGTTGTGAACCACTACATGGGTTCTGGGAAACAACAGCAGCAAGCACTTTTTTTTTTTTTTTTTTTTTTTTTTTTTTTGAGACAGAGTTTCTCTGTGTAATAGACTGGCTGTCCTGGAACTCACTTTTAGATCAGGCTGGCCTCAAACTCACAGAGATCCACCTGCCTTTGCCTCCCACAAACTGAGATTAAAGGCATGGGCCACCACCCAGTTTAAAGCAAGTGCTCTTAACACTGGGCCATCTCTCCATCCCTGAGGAATGTTTTCAATGTAAGTATGTCCTCAGTCCAAGCTCCAGATATAATATGCTCCACAAAGGCCAGTCAAGTTATAGCTCACATGAAGTACAAAGAGGGATTGCTGTGGGCCACTTTCTGTCGCTAAACCGATGGCCAGCTTGAAACAGTGATGTCCTTGCCTAACAGGTTTCCATTCTCAGGAATAGGGAACAGAGGCAAAAATCATCATCTCTAGAAAGCAACTGATTCAGTGTACATGTTCACTGGGGATACAAGAACACGTGTAGCTGGAAGTTTTTCTTTGTCTTGCCCAGTTCCACTGGACTGGTTTCTCTCCTGCCCGACAGTCCCCACAGCCGATTATTAAATAATCATTCTAAGGCTTAACATTAATTATAATTGTTCGGCCGAAGGCTCAGGCTTCTTACTGACAAGCTCTACATATAAATTAACCCATTTCTATTAATCTGCGAATCGACACGTGGCTGTGGTACCTCTGTTCTGGCATCTTTCCCCTTAGGCTGGTGCTGGCATTTCTCTTCTTGGTGGCTGGCTTAAATTCCTCTTGACCCCTCGGTAGTGATATATTATTTTTGATTTATTGAAGCTTGCCTGAGGATTCAGAAAAGCAAAGTCAGACACAAGTCATAGAAGCTAGGCACACACTTTTAATCCCAGCAGCCAGAAGCCAGGAGGTGGTGGTACACACCTTTAATCCCAGGACTCAGGATTAAGAGATAGATGGATCTCTGTGAGTCCAAGGCCACCCAGATCTACACAAGAGTGAATCACTCTAAAAGAGAATTGTAGCTCACACCTTTACTCCCAACATTAGGGAAGTATATAAGACAGAAGCAAGGTCTCAGAGAGGCATTCATTCTCCAGCCACACAGAGGAGAGGCAGCAGTTTGAGACTTGGTGAAGAGCTTGTGTGTGGATCAGCCCTTTCAGTATGAGCTTAAGGTGAGAGCTAGTGGCAGCTGCTGTGCTTTTCTGATATTCAGTTTGAAGTTTGAACCCCAACATTAGCCTCTGGATCTTTTATTTTTGGTGTTACACCCTCCCTTTTTCTGTATATCTGTTTGGATTTCCTGCCAAGCTGTATTCTGTCTCGCCATAGGCCAAAGCAGCTTTAATTATCAACCAGTGGGAACAACACATATTCATAGCGGCAGAACATCCCACCTCACCCTGGGTGTCCTATGAATTGCCTAGAAAAAGCTGGGTGTGGTGGTTCATACCTATAATCCCAGCATTTGGAAAGCAGAGGCAAGAGGATCAGGAATTCAAGGGTAGCCTTGACTATTCAAGGGTAGCCTTGACTACACAAGGCTAGCTTGGGCTACAGGAGACCCTATCTCAAAACAGCTACCACAGCAACAGAAAAATAAACAAGAGCCAAAAAACCCACCCAGGTATTTAAACAAACCAAGTACATTTGACTTTTACCATCAGAACCCTGAGCTAACCAACAGTCAATTAACACCACAGAAGCTCAAAGAGTCTGCTTCAAAAGGAGTGAGGCACAGGTTAAGAGTTAGTGGAGGGAGCAAACAACGTAAAGAGGAAACAAATGGGGGAGGGTACCACTAGTGACTTCAGCATACCTCCTGCTTAGTCCACACAGCACATTGACTAGTAGACTATTTTATCACAAAACATTTTGTAATTATGGCTACTATTTATTAAGCTTTTATTACATGTTTACTTTTCCTGGACTGTCCCCTGTAGTTCTTGGAACCTCTAGTTTAAACGTGAGAAAGCTAACACAGAAGTTAAATCTGTCCCAGGTCATATGCATTTGAAACAGGGTGGCTATACACCCAAATCTGCCTTTATTCCTAATCCTGTACCACAAAATCTCTAAGAAATTCTGACTTGCTCAAGAAGATACAGTACAAACCAAAGACCCAAGCCTGGTGGTGCTGGCCTTTAATCCCAGCACTTGGGAGGCAGAGGCAGGTGGATCTCTGAGTTCGAGGCCAGCCTGATCTACAGAGCGAGTTCCAGGACTGCCAGGGCTACACAGAGAAACCTTGTCTCAAGAGAGAGACAGAGAGAGAGACAGAGACAGAGAGACAGAAACAGAGAGAAAGACAGAGAGAGTCAGAGAGGGACAGAGACAGACACACACACACACACACACACACACACACACACACAGAGAGAGAGAGAGAGAGAGAGAGAGAGAGAGAGAGAGAGAGAGAGAGACCGTTGTCTCAAGAGACCGAGAGAGACCCGGATCCGGGTTCAATTCAGCCTGTGCGTTTCCCAGAATACTTTATATGGTCCCATAAGTAGGTGAGAATTGCAGGACGGTAGAGCGGATCTCCTGTGAAAGAGTCGCAGAAAACATTCACAATACTTCCGTTTCTGAGTAGTCTAAATCCTAGGAAACTCATACAGAGCCAGAAGCCATTCGAAGAATATTCTTTTTTTTAAAGACTCATTTATTTACTATGAATAGTGTTCTGTCTGCATGTATCCCTGTAGGCCAGAAGAGGGCACCAGATCTTATTACAGATGGTTGTGAGCCATCGTGTGGTTGCTGGGATTTGAATTCTAAAACCAGCTAGTGTTCTTAACCACTGAGCCATCTCTCCAACCCCCAGAAGTCATTTGATACTGGATTTTATTTGTTCTGACCATCTGGCCACTGTGATAGAAACGACAGTACCCAGGAGGGAGGCTCTGCGGAAGACTAGAGACACCAAAATAAACACTGCAGACAGGCCGCTAGAACAGCCTGGGAAGACAGGTTCTGTGGCAGCTGGGCAGCTGCCCAATCAGATCTTCTCTCTTCTCAAAGTCTTAATTACAATAATAATAATAAAAAGTTCCCCAGCCAGTTACTGTGAGAATTCCAGTTGCCCATGAACCGAAACATAGGACAAGAGGGAGGGAATTCAGAGTTAACTTGAAATTTCCAGTAAACATCAAGTAAGGGCTGAAAAACTCATTCCAACAGAGAAACCCATAGCACACAACAGGAGTCCCAGAAACATCTTCCAGGAAGATTACTGCTTTGGAGCCAGCGGGTGCTGCACAAGTAGGGGCTTACTCCCCAGAGACCACATGCCAACCACTTAGGCCTCCTGATGCAAATCCCCCTTGTTCGGATCTCGTGTCGGGGGGGACACTGATGTTCCCCAAAGCTGCTGTGGTGAAAGAGCTTCCCACCATCAGGTCGCTTTCTTTAAGAAAGCCTCAAAGAGAAGTGGAGAAAACTGCCAATGCGCTTCCCTGCTATTCCAGCTTGAACCACCAGGAGGCTCCTGGCTCCAGAAAATTCAGCGCCAAAGAAGGACGAGGGTTGGGACGCCGGAGCCCAAAAAGCCCGGGGCCAGCTGGGTTTCCCCAGCACCTGAAGGCGGGCGTCCTGTGAAGTCTCAGGTTTCAGGAGGGCTGGCAGTTGCCTGTTTGAACGCTTCTCTGTGCCTTGGAATTGTACAGAATGTCTCTTGTGGCTTTTTCTCCTCCCTCTTTTCCTGTTGACTCTCCCCATCCGGCTCTATGAATCACTGGACTCCACAGGAAAGCAGCAGATGTTGACTTTACTTCTTTTAAGTCAACGTCAGCTCTCTCCTGCAGAGTGGGGAGCAGGCAGTAAGGTGAGCGTGTGTGCTTCTGTTGGGGAGGGAGTGAGAAGGCGAACCTTCTTTTTAGAATTGTGAGGGAAGACAAAGGAAGTCTGAAAGGAGTCAGGAAAAAAATCTTTTGGCCCCTGGTAATAGGGGAGATAGGGCTCCAAACAAAGACCCAATGTTGGCTGTGGAACCCGGCAGGGCGAGGAGGAAAGCACAGGGTGGGGAGATTATTTGTTTTGGTGCCAGCCCTTCGTGGCTGAGGCAAAGCCTCATCTCTTGCCAGCTGCATACCCGGGGCTCAAACGTCAAGTCAGGCTGCAGGTCTGGAGACATATTCCAGAAGCATCTTTTCCCCTTTAGCCTCCAAGCCTTGTTTTTGGATACGAGTCTCTTGAAAAGGCTGCCAAAGAGGACTTTCTGAGCCTCCTCCTACAGTCACTGCTCCAACTTCTCATCAGTCTGTTCTTCCTTGGGGATTTTCTTTCGGGCAAAGAAGCCAAGCTGTGCAGGGAAAGACTCAAGTGAGGCCAGGCTTGCTAACAGCCCTCCAGTTTATCTGAGGTTTCTCGTTTGTTCTGCTCCCAAAAATGGGATTCAAATTTATTTTCTTTGGCTTAGTTTAACTCAAGCAACATTTGTGGGATGAACAGAGTGAAGGAGATCCAAACAGGACCCTCCTCACCCCCAGCAGGTTTAATGGCCTAACACAGAGCCTGTCCTTGACAAAATGAGATGCTTCGGATTGTGGGCACCCACAAAAGCTGGGCTCACCTTCCACAGGCAGAAGACAAGTAGTGCAAGCAGGAGCAGCCCTCCCAAGACACTGCCTATGAGGATCCACAGGGAGATGAGGGTTGTGCGGCTCTGAATCACCTCCAACAGGCTCTGCATATCAAGGAGACTTTGTTTGGGTTTGTTTTGGTTTGATTTGCCATGCTTTGCTTTTGACACGGGTTTCTGTGGGTTTGTTTGTGTGTTTTTGAAGCAGAGTTTCATTGTATGTCCCAGACTGCCCTTCAACTCCTGGCCAGCCTCCTCTCTCAGTCTGCCAGTACTAGAAGTACAGGCATGCATCACCACACCTGACTTTCGTCTTATATGTGTCCTTTAACACAACTAGCCTCGTGCACAACATTATAACAAAGCCAGCCCCCAAACAGAGAACAAAACAACGATAACAGAAACCTCTTTCTACTTAAAAACACCGAAGCAAGGAGCAAAGCAGTAGGACTGCCACTTCTGATTGGTGGACTGCTCCCTGATGGATATAGTTTTGTTCTGAAAAATCCCATTGTGGGGCTGGAGAGATGGCTCAGTGTTTAAAAGCACTTGTTTTTGCACAGGATTCAGGTTTGGTACCCAGTACCCACATGCTGCTCAAAACCATCTCTGTTCTGGGGGAATCCAGTGCCGCCTTCTGACTGCCACTCACACGGGCAAAACACTGACACACATAAGAGTTTTTAAAACGAAATTGAAAAAAGAAAAAGGCCATTCTTTACCAATTGCCACTATTTCCACAGCTCCGGGCCTACCTCACTCCCGGAGGAGGCTTCCGTCAGCTGTAGGACACTGCCATTCTCGGTTTCTAACTTAAAGGTGCTGACCACTGTCAGTGACTTGAACTTGGCCTGTGGAACAAGCAGATGGGAAAACATTTCAACTGAGCCATCATCTGGTGGAAAGGAATTCCAAGAGCAAAGTGGGAGCTCCGTGGCAGTTACCAGGGCCCTGAAGCCCAGAAGATGATAGGAATCGATAGGAAAACAGAGGAAGGGAAACAGACAGCAAGCCTGCTCTGAAAATACACTGTCCACAGTGGCGTCCAACTTCCCTTTCCTTCCAGGGACTTCTGTGGGGCTGAAACTTTCTACTCTGAAACTAGAGATGTGTTTCCTACCAACTCCCACTAACTCTGATAGTAGGATCTCAGTGTGGGTTGAGTGTCCTTAAGCCTTCGTGTGTCCAATCTTGGTGTCTGCTGCAAGATATTAAGAGAGAGAAATTTATCCAACTGTTGTGTTTAGCAGTGGGCCTTTGGGAAGTGCTAAGGATGAGAGTCATTCGTGGAACCTTGTGAGTGACTCCTGGTGGCTCTGGAAGAAGAGCAAGTAAGGCTGGGTACACACAAGCACAAGTGCCCACCATACAACTCTACAGGGACCCCTTACCAAAGCTGAGCCTAATACACCTGGTGTTTACACCTTGGTCTTTGTCCACTGGCCTAAAAGATCCTTGAAGTCAAGGACCATGTCTGATCAGCCATTGTGCTGCCAGTGTCAATGACAAATGTGTAGTGGTGTGTGTGTGTGTGTGTGTGTGTGTGTGTGTGTGTGTGTTAACTTTGTCTAGTAAGTGAGGCTAGGGGGCCAGTTAGTGCCCAGGGGTGCATCTGAATCACTCTCCTGTGTTACCATCATTAGGATTACAGGCACATGTCACTGTATCCAGCTTTCCATGTGGGTCCAGGAGGGTATGCACCCCTAACCCCAGCACTCAGGAGGGTGTATGCCCCTAACCCCAGCACTCAGGAGGGTGTACACCTCTAAACCCAGCACTCAGGAGGGTGTACACCTCTAACTCCAGCACTCAGGGGGGTGTACAACCCTAACCCCAGCACTTAGGAGGGTGTACACCCCTAACCCCAGCACTCAGGAGGTGTACACCCTTAACCCCAGCACTCAGGGGGGTGTACACCCCTAAATGTTGGAACCTAGCTCTCATGAGGTCTCTAAGAGTTGTTTTCCAGCATAACTACAGGTACCTCCTGTTTTCCTGACCTCACCCTACTGGGATCAATATCCTGTTGTGAACCCTTTGACCTGGGGTTTTTGTAAGTTTGTATATAAGGCTGCTCCACAATAAAGTTGAGAGACATTCTCTCAGAAAAGGACCTTGTGGTTCATCCAAATCTCCAGGCCTTCACCCAATACTCAGACTTAGTAGCCAAGAGCAGCCACAAATGGAGGTTCCACCGAGATCGGGAAAGAAAGAGGACCCTGAGAGATCACCCTCGGAGGGCTGGAAAGCAAGTAAGGAGTTGTGAGGGTGGATTGCAAAAGGTACTAGAAAATAGGTACCTCTACTCCTAGGAGAATTGGATTGTAAAAGCACTGGAAAAGGGGTGCCTCAACTCCTGAGAGAGTTGGATTGGAAAGTTACTGGAAGGGGTGCCTCAACTCCTAAGAGAGCTGGACTGCAAAGGCACTGGAAAAGGGGTGCCTCAACTCCTGAGAGAGTTGGATTGGAAAGTTACTGGAAGGGGTGCCTCAACTCCTAAGAGAGCTGGACTGCAAAGGCACTGGAAAAGGGGTGCCTCAACTCCTGAGAGAGTTGGATTGGAATAGAGATCACAGTCAATCACAGAGATAAAGTTTAAAGAGACAAGGTCAGAACCCAATGTCTTCATCCCCTGAACCCAGTGGCACTAAGAAAAGACCCAGGCCCTACAAAAGATCTTACAGGAATGGATAAAGATGCGGCAGTCCTCAAGACCCTCCAAAGATGCCAAGCTATGGTAAGGATGGCCGTCCCTGACACCTCCTCTCCTTTGTGACTTTTGTCCAAAAGATGTATATATGTTCTGTATGTATGGTGTGGCCTCACATGTATGTATGAAATGTGATTGTAAATGTGTGACTGTTAACAAAAGAATGCTATTATGTTGTCTTTAAATCATTAATTGCTGGGCAAGGAGCAACAGATGTTAAAGTACAGGTTACTTGAGAGGGAAATTTCTACTTTTATTTCCATAGAGGGTGAAGGGATGGTATGGTACCAGGCTTCCAGAGTGGTATGGTTTCATGGGGGCAGGACCCCCTGAAGCAGTGGCCCAGGTGATCTAAATATTTGTTTTCATTTAAATTTGGTCAGTTAGAAATGTTAGTGGTCACAGTCAATCACTTTTAAAAGGAAAAGGAGGAAAATGATATAGAAATGATACTTTTTATTGAATGGATCCTCATTTGTTGATACTTTGTATTGAAATGGATCTTCATTTGTTGATACTAGTTAGGTTTTCTAGATATATAGATATCCTTCATACCATTCAAAGACCTATGGAATATATGGCATTTAAATGGTCTAGGGTTTTTCTTGACAGTGAGACACAACTGCCCCTGGCACACCAATTATATCTGAGAGGAAGATGGGCATTCAAGAAACTCATTATAGAGTTTGCCTTTGACATGGCAAGACCAGCCATTTGGGCAAGAAGCTACTCTTGCATGAACTATTTAACTGTTGCTTTATAAACTGGACATGCAGTACCCACAGGAAAATGCCTAAAGGGTTCCTGCTTCATGGAGGAGTACAAACTTCCAATGCAGGACAGTTTAGAATCCCCTGCTTCATGAAAGAGTCTGCCAGACATTCTACAGGACACAGAAAAAAAGATGACAAACTGCCAATGCAGGTGGACAGTTTAGAATTTCCTGCTTTGCTGAGAAGTCGGCCAGACACAGCGTGGCCTGTAGACTAAAGATGGATGCCCCAAGGCTACCAAGAAACTTTGGGTGACTGTCTAGGAAGCAAGGTGTCTCTGTCAGTTCTAGAGTTTATATATTATCCTACTATGGTCTTTGATGGAGTTGAAGATAGATAGTTATAGTAACACACTTAGATAGAATGGTTAAAATCTTATAGTACTTACTTGATAACTGTTTTGTTATATATAAAGAAGGGGGAGATGTTGGAACCCAGCCCCCATGGGGTCTCTAAGAGTTGTTTTCCAGCATAACCACAGGTACCTCCTGTTTTCCTGACCTCACCCCACTGGGATCAATATCCTGTTGTGAACCCTTTGACCTGGGGTTTTTGTAAGTTTGTATATAAGGCTGCTCCACAATAAAGGTGAGAGACATTCTCTCAGAAAAGGACCAGGAGTCTTGTGGTTCATCCAAATCTCCAGGCCTTCACCCAATACTCAGACTTAGTGGCCAAGAGCAGCCACACCTAACCCCAGCACTCAGGATGGTGTACACACTCAGGAGATGGAATCAGATCAAGGCTAACTGGAGCAACACGATGAAATCGGAGGGGGGGGGTGTGGAGGGGAAACAGCGAGCCAGTGTTTGCTGCTCTTGAAGAGGACCAGAGTTCAGTCCCCAGAACCCAGGTAACTGCTTGTAACTCCAGCTCCAGGGCACCCAATGCCTTCTTCTGTTCTCTGTGAGCACTCACGCACAAGTGCACACACTTACGTATAGACACACATGCACACATAAAAATAAATCTTGAAAAAAATTAAAAATAATAAAAAAAAATGTCTGGGGGTGGTCAGTGGTAGAATGCTTACATCACATCCCAGAGGCCACTGATACAATCCTCAGTCACACACACACACACACACACACACACACACACCTGAATCAGACAGATGGCCAAGACAGCTAGAGAGAGTATCAGCCATGGAGAGGAATGATTCATCAGACTTAACTCACCTATGTTTAAAGCCCAGAGATGTTGTAATATTGAAGGTCGCTGTTACATGTATTATATTAAACAATATAAACACTTAGTGCTAAATAGCCATTTACAATTAAGATGCCAGTTCCCTGCTCACACTGACTTTTGCTTGCTGACTGTCATAGTAAATTCAATTTCATCTCCCCAACTTCAGATACTTTCATAATCTAGATCTCTCTCAACTGTGCAGTTTTACTTCCCACTGTCCCATAAAACCCTGTAAATAGCAATTATTGTATTCATTTGTTTAACAAAAAAGTATTGAACATGATACAAGATAGATCTTAGCCTCCCCACTGTTGACTTAATACAGAATCATTTCTATATCAGGCATTTGATGGAGTGTGAGTGTGTGTGTGCTCGTGTCTGGCAGGCATGGGGCTTGCTAATAGACCAGGCTAGCCGTGAACTTTGAACTCATAGAGTTCCATCTGCCTCTGTCTCTGCCTCTTAAATGCTGAGATTAGGATGTACATCCCCACACCTAGTCTGATGAATTAATGACTAAGTGTGGGCATTTTATTACCTGATCCCTATGATGGAACTAAGGGATGCTAAGTAGAGGAAAATACAAGGTGGTTGCTATGTTATATCAAGGGCTTGCCATGTGTCCATCTCATTACCTCCTTATATCAATTCCACAAGCTGGGCATCACTGTTCTCATTTTAAAGATCAGGAAAAAGCTAGGCATGGTGGTGCACACCTTTAATCTCAGAGTTTGTGAGGCAGAGGCAGGTGGATTTCTGTGAGTTCAAGGTCACTCTAGTCTACAGAGTGAGCTCCAGGACAGCCAGGGCTATGTAGAAAAACCCTGTCTCAAACAAACAAACAAACAAACAAAACAAAAAACAAACCCAAACAAACAAGACAGATCAGGAAGAAAGATTAGAGAGATGAAATCACTTAGCTTATGGTCAAATAGAGAGAGGCTGAACTTGAACAGCCTATTTATCTCACCATCTCACATGTTAATGTTTCTGATGAAAGCAGAAAGGAAGAAAAGGAAAGATTTACCCTCCGGAAGAATTCGTTGTGAACCAGCCTCAGCAGTCCAACAGAGATCTCAGTCCCCTTTGCCAGCTGTCCGAGATGGCACCTCACAACCTGACACTGAGTGTTACTCCCGTTCTATCCAAAGAGAGACAAATCGGGACCCTGGAGTGGCGTGCTCCCCACTCCCATCTCCACTTCCCACCCAGACACAATCCCTATTTGCACCCCTGCCCCAGAAACCTTCCGAGGACTCCTACCAGTCTGCTTGTGTGCTGTAGCTCCTCCGGGTGCACAGCAGGTCCTGGGGGCTCAGTCAGGTTCTGCACTGTGCAGCTTGCCTAAAGGAAGACCAGCCACTCCTATGCATAAGCCCTTTCCTTCCTCCCAAGCCACAGGTGAAAGGATGGCCGCAGGAAGAGGAGCTCTGAGAGAAGTGGGCCAGCAGATAGGAGTTCAAGACTGCAGGGTGTCACGCCCTCTAGCCCAGACTCACATTGCTAGTGATGACTTGAGATAGTGACAGGAAGTAATTGCCCCCGTGGGCTACAGCTGGAAGGAGGGCTGAGATGATGAGACCACTGACCATGTGGCAGCCAAGGTTCTGAACCTGGGAGAAGAATTTAAATTGGGAAGAGGCGAGAAACAGAGGGACTGCTTCATCTCTTCCCCTTCAGCTGCTCGGGGACGAATCCTTTCTGCACACAGCTATTGCTTTCCTCCCAACCCCGCCCCTAGCATGCCAAGAACCCCACCACCACCAGCTTCTCACCCGAAGAGTGGTTTTGAATTCAGGGCCAGGACCCACTGGGAGAGTCCTGTAAGGGTGAACCTCGTATCGATGCAGAGTGGACTCACTGTGTAGACGCCAAGCCAAGAGGTGTAAAGTCATGGCCGTGACAATGACACAGAGCACATGATCGTCACACAAACATGGATTCGGGGAAGGTAGGGTCAGCACATGGAAAATGAGGTAGGGATGCATGACAAAGAAGGGAATTGAATGTAACACATACTTGAGTTTTAAAAAAAATGTATGGCTGTATCCCCCATATCTCTTTATCCTAGTTCCAATGCTCAGGACCTGACAACATCCAGGAAAGTAAGGTGCTTAAGAGCAAAGGTTAACTACAAGTGCGGGTGAGGACCAAAAGACTGAGCAACCCAAGGAGTTGTGCTCCTGGGAACACTGAAGCATAGGAAGAACAGGGAAGAAACACAAAGGATGTAAGAACGGGTCTCAGCCGGGGGAGCCCAGCCATACCTAGAGAACATGAGGTGAGGCTCGTATCGGATGAACGCAGAGGTCTGAACTGTATTGTCTTGAAGGGTCTCATTTCTCTCCAGGCTACTGCTGTAGGATCAAGGGGGAGAGTTGCATATTCCAGGCCCTCCTCAGGGACCCTCTCTGCTACTAGAGGAATCAGTGTTGTTTCTTCCAGCCACCCATTTCTCTGACTTTCAGTCAAGTTCCCTGAAAGGGATGGAGAGGACTGGAGGAAGCTTCTTTGTTCTCACCTACTGGCAGTCAGCCTCACCAAGACCTGGCCCAGGAGGAAGGTGCAGCTAAATTCAAACTCTAACAGAAAGGTCACCTGGGGGTAAGGGACAAGGAAGGAATAATGATAAATTTTTCCTTGTGAAAAAACCCAGAGAGGAACGAGAGCCATGTCCACCCCCACCCCGCAGAGCTTCATGCCCCGTGGATCCCAGAGCCTGCTTTCCGGCACCTTTTCCTCACTGTGGGCCCACACTCACCTTGGCTCCAGCCTGGAAGACTGGATGGCCCACGATGCATTCCCGGGCATGTGGGGAAGGCACTGAACATTCCACCCTCACTGATTTGGCCCTCTGAAAGCAGAGGGATGGAGATGGAAGTTAGATGTGGGGCTGGGGGCTGCTCTTCCACCCACTAAGATGCTAACACTGAGCCTTTCTCCAGACCACCCCCATAGCCAATGCTGAGGCTCTCATCTTCCTCCTCCTTCCTCTCCTTTGCCTCAGTCCCTTCCCACAAGGGTACCTGAGGAGTAAGACTGGCCAGGTGGAGGTTTCTAGAGAACCTGAGACTCAGGCTAGTGTTGTAGGCATTTTCCTTCTTGTTCTCCAGGGTTGCCGACACCAGCAGTTTCTGTCTGCCACCGTGAACCACAAATGGGGACTTCCTAAGAATGGGAGATAAATGAGAGACTAAGAGGTAAAGGAGAATCAAAAGTCTCACTTCCAATATAGTGGCACATGCTCTTAATCCCAGCAGTTGTGAGGCAGAAGCAGGTTAATCTCTGAGGTAGAGGCCAGCCTGGTCTGTAGAGAAAGCTCCAGGCCAGCCAGGGCTACATAGGGAGAACCTGTCTCAAAAAGAAAACAACTCTCTAACTCCCTTCTGGTTTGCCGGGCTTATCTCCATCTAACCTGGAGCCCCTGATGTCCATATGAGCTTGAAGCACCAGGTCTGTGATACATTCATCGTCAGTTCCACAGTCTTTTGAGAAGGGGACCTACAAGAGAGTTAATGGTCTGAGGGCTGGGAGGAAGGCAAGGACAAAGGACTGGAATTGGGGGAAATTGAGGAGGAGAGAGGCTATTTTTGATCACCAGAGCCTGGATCAGATTTCACCATTTGTATGTGACCCCGTCCCCCTTGTTTTAAGTATACTGGGAGGGCACCAAGGGACCCTAGACAGAGCAGGATATGGCACTACTCACCAGCTTTCTGATAGAGGTGGGTGATCCCTCATCCAGCACAGGCCCGGGCTTTGTGGTGTTGTCCAAGGCAAAGGTCACAGTCAAGGCCACTGGCCGGAGGTAATCTGATGTCTCCTGAGGGAAAGCAGAGAGAAGGACAGATCCCAGGGAGCCAGGATTAGAGCAGACGCTAGGCCTCTGTAGAATACATTAAGTGTGATCACCCATGAAGCACTTTCTGTGTCCCAAGGTTGTCACAGTATGATGGAATGTGACTCAGTCACAACTCCTTTGATACAGTTATCAGTATATACCATCCCTTCCAGTCAAGGATACTGAGATGTGGCAGCTAAGTGACTTGGCAGACAGAGTTCATGGTGACAAACTATAGAACTAGGGTTCCAATAGTATCATCCTGACCCCAGAATCTGAATGGTCTCAATCTCTCTACTTCAGTTTTGTTGCTGATCTGACTGAAACTCCCCTGGGACCCAGGTTTCCCCTCACTCCCAGGCCTGATGCAAAGCAGTGCCTACCCCATCCTCACCAGTACATGGAAGTGCAGCCGTTCACAAGTGACATTCCCTACACTGAGCTGGAGCTGCTGAGGGGACAGCCGCTGGCCAGAGCCATCAAACGCTGCACGTGCCCCAGCTGCCCACTCATCCAGTGATGCTGAGAACCGTATATCTGAAGGGAGAGGCGAGTGTGAGAGTGATGACAGATGCAGATATGGGGGTGGGCCAGCACTTGAGAGCTGTCTTGGATACACTGTAGTCACTCACAGAATCTGCGATCCCAGCGCCCACGAGTGTGAGAGGTCACTCGGAAGCACAGGGTTGCAGTCAGGCAGGCCGCTTCCTGGCCTCTTCGCCTACAGTCCTTCTGAACCACGCTGATGTGGGGTGGCACCACATCCAGGGTTGGAAGCAGGTGTATGATGGGCTGGGAGCTGGGAATAAGGTGGGAAAGAAATGCTAAAGGGAGTAGGTAAGTACCCCATCCCCACCCCACCCCCAAAAGTACAACCCTAGGCTGGGGATGGAGTCAGTGGTAGAGCTCTTGAGGACTCGAGCTTGCACTTCAGAACCAGAAGCAAAGAAAAAGATAAGAACTGCAACCTTAGTACTTGTTTTCCCATGTAAAAAAAAATTAAGATCTGAATGTCACCCTTCCCAGAAGCCTGTGACAGAAGTCACACAATAATACATCCAATCTGATAAGCACTAATGTCACGCTGGAGAGATGGCTCAGTGGTTAAAAGCACTGGCTGCTCTTCCAGAGGACCCAGGTTTGATCCCCAGCACCCACAAGGCAGGTCAAGGCCAGCTGTAAAACTCCAGTTCCAGGAGATCAGACGCCCTCCTTTGGTCTCCACAGGCACTGCACATATACACAGTGCAAAACACCCATACACATAAAATAAATAAAAATAAATAAGCACTGTTAGAAATCTTTATGTAGATTATCTTACTGATATCTACAATAAACCAGTAAGATAGTGAAAACTACTTCCACTTTAGGCATCAGATTAGTTGACGAAGAAATCCAAATCTAAATCTGTGACCTTGAGCTGTGCTGAACTGAATCCCTCACCTGAGCAGGATGGCTGCTCCATGGGCGCCCACAGCAACATCTACAAGATCATCTCCGTCCAGATCTAGCCGGCCATCCACACTTCGGCCAAAGTAGCGGAGGGTCTGTGGCATGGATACAGCAGCAATCCGCTGAGAGGAAAAGAAAGCCTGAGGAAGACTGGCACCTGCTTCTCTGTCCTCCTGCCAGGTCCGTCCTTCCTTCTTTTCTTTTCTTTTCCTTTCCTTTCCTTTCTCTCTCTCTTTCTTTCTTTTTTTCTTTCTTTTTTTTTTTTTGAGACAAGGTTTCTCTGTCCTGGCTCTCACTCTGTAGCCCAGGCTGGTCTGGAACTCACAGAGATCCACCTGCCTCTGCCTCCCGAGTGCTGGGATTAAAGGCGTGCACCCGCCCCCTCCAACCCAGGTTATTTCTAACATTTCCGTCCATCAAGAGAATAAGAAAAATTTGCTTATCTTGGGAATCCCTCATACACAGTTTCACTTTTCAACTTATAAATAAGGCACTGACTTGGTTTGACTCTTAAACCAAGTGGATGATAAATAAGCAAAGAAAATAACTCCCTTCCGTATCTACTACTATGTCCCATTTTCAATGGTCTGTTTCTATCTTGTCTTTGAGACAGCATCTCACCATGTAGTCCTGGCTAGCCTGGAATTCACAAGGTGGACCAGGTTGGCCTTGAACTCACAGAGATGCCCCTTCTGAAATGAAAGGCATGTGGCACCACACTGTCCTTTATCCCAGCATTGCTCACCTGGGTAGGATGGGGCCTGATTCCAGTCTGGGTTCCATGATACAGGTACAGTGCTCCCTGGTGCCCATCCTCGAGGGGTGCCCCCACAGCCACATCAGCGAAACCATCTTGGTTCAGATCAGGAAGAGCAGCCATGGCAAAGCCGAATCGAGAGTCCTGGGAGTGTTCTGGCTGAAGAGTTCCTTGGAGCATCAGCAAAATTTGCTTTGTAGTGGCGAGGAGACAGAAGGAGTTGCTTATCTGGTGACACTCATCCCTTAGCAAGCTCTCAAACATAGGTGCCTCTCCTCTCTTCCCTTCCCCCTGCTTTTTTGTTTCGTTTCTGTTTTTTGTTTTTCAAGACAGGGTTTCTCTGTGGCTTTGGAGCCTATCCTGGCACTCGCTCTTGTAGACCAGGCTGGCCTTGAACTCACAGCGATCCACCTGCCTCTGCCTCCCGAGTGCTGGGATTAAAGGTGTGCGCCACCGCCGTGCGGCATTCTTCCCTTCCTTCTACCATCACCCCCACACACATCTTAGGGGGTTCCATCAATTCTTACCTGACCTACTACATACACATAAACACGTCCAGTCTCTTTGTTCTGGGGACCCAGGAACATCGGGGCCGCCACAAGTAAGACATCAGTTATCCCATCTCTGTCTGTATCCAATGGGCAGAGCTCACTGCCGAAGTATGAGCCAATCTGGATGTAGAGGGTGGTGATGATCCCAGAGAAAAGGGAAGGTCACTGTGGACCGCTGGACTCAGCAGGAAGCACTCACCACTCTGCCAGTCTGGTCCTTGCATCCCTGACAGTCTGCCTATCAGAATTCAGCATGGGCTTTCCAGCTTTTCCCTTTCCCTTCTCACTCTTCTCCTTCAGCCTGGAATTCATGGGGACTGAAGGGTCCCACCCTCCCTCGATGTCTCACCTGATCCCCCTGGAGGCTCTGGGCGACCCTCAGAGCCCCATCTTTCTTTAGCTGGAAGGCAATGACTTTTCCTCGATGTCTAAACCTCGGTGCCCCGGAGAGAAAGAGGCGACGTCCACCGGGCAGAAGCATGGAGGAAACAGAGTAACCTAGAAGCGAGTAGCGATCAGATGAAAGGAAAAGAAGATGGGATGAGAGCCGAGGGTGTGCTGAAGGCATAAGGTAAGTTCTCAAGAGAGACCAGCGGCGGAAAACTGCCTGTTAAGAGGGACTGCCTCGCTTCCCCCCCGCTACTGGATCTCCCTCACCTTCCCAGATCCCTGCAACTCTGTTACTTACCCAGATAGGCTGCATGGTTCTGCAATGCAGGGGGAAACTCATCTTCTAGGGCCGTTCGTGGGGGGAAAAGGCGGCGACCTTCTTCAAGCCACAGTACCGAGCCCCCCCAGTCATAGGCCCCCACCATCCCAAAGAGAATCCCATCCTGAGGGGCAGAAACAAAAGAGGACACTGAGAAGACAGTGGGGAATAGGAGAAAAAACGCACTCTCCAGGAGTAAGGTGCTCTCTTAAGGGTCCACTGTGGTCAGAAAAGCATGGAAGGCGGGGAAGCAGGCTGGTAAGAGGAGAAATCTGGAAGGGCCTTAGGACTGAAGTTATCTGAGTCAGAGGCTGGAGAGGATTTTGAAAAAAACAAGGGCTCGGGGATGTTGTGGAGGGTCAGGGTCTGTCCAACCTGCAGCCGGTGGATGGAGAAGCCAATCTCAGACATTTCTAGTCCAAAGGAGCTTTCATTTTCTCCACGGGACCCTTAGGCATGAGAAAATTGCAAAGCACTATCAGGGGCCCTCGTTCTACCGAACTCACACTAGGATGCCCCCAACCCCGGTCTTCCATTTCGCCAGGATAATCATTACCTTCAAGACCAAAAATTCGGTCTCCCAATGCATCCACAATGTCTGTCAGTGCGGCCTCATCTGTGACGTTGAAGAAGAAGCGCTCATCTGGATCACTAGCAATGTCTCTGATTTCCCGAAGAAAAGTGCTGGGGTCTCTCTGTCGCCGGAGATAGTGACCAAGGACCTGAGTTCAAGATGGGGTTCTATCTTGAAGTAAGTTGTTAGAACTGATACGGAACAGAGCCAACTAAAGAAAAGGGAAGGGAATAAAGACTGAAGTCTAGGCAGTAGCTAATACTATTTTCTGTTTCACGTCCTGAAAACCTTTCTCCATCTGTCTTTCTAAATTGAGTCGATCCTTGGTCTGGGAAGATGACTCAGTGAGTACAGTGCTTGTCACACAAGCCTGACAACCTGAGTTCCGATCCCCAGACCCACATAAAATGCTGGACACAGTAGCTCAAGCTTGTCTGCAATCCCAGCGTGCCCCTACCAGGAGACAGGAAGCTGAGTCAGAAGACTTGCCCAAATCCTGTGGGCCAGCTAGCCTGGTTTATTGTACACAGTCTCAAGCAAGGTGGAAGGTGAGGACTAACATCTGAGGTTGTTCTCTGACATATATATATATATATATATATATATATCATGCTATGAGCATACATTCACACACACACATCATACAAACACACACACAACACAAAACACAACCAAAAAGCACCAGAGTCAAGTCTCACCGCAATCCCATAACGTGTTACTCTCCCAGCCTCACAGGCCTTTAGTGCTGCTGGAAGCTCCTCTCCATCATGGGATTCTCCATCAGTGACAACCACAAGCAGCCTTGCAGCCTCAGGTCGGCCCCCCCGGGACTGACTGAACCCTTCTGTGCTAAGAGAAAAGAATGAGACATGGTCATGCGTATAAGCATGCATGTGAGTGAGTGCGCGTGCGAGCACACACACACACACACACACACACACACACACACACACACACACATACGCATGCATGCATACATTGTATTTAACATGGTCAGCAGTTCACCGAGGTCAGATGTATCTTCCAGGCCATTCCCCAACAGTGTCTAACATGCAAACTGTCACAAAGTCACTGCTTTGTCATCAGTGTAAATAAGAACAAGCTTTATTCATTCATAGATTTATTTTTTATTTTTTATTTTTTGGGGGTGGTTTCGAGACAGGGTTTCTCTGTGTAGCTTTGGAGGCTGTCCTGGCACTCGCTCTGGAGACCAGGCTGGCTTCGAACTCACAGAGATCCGCCTGCCTCTGCCTCCCGAGTGCTGGGATTAAAGGCGTGCGCCACCAACGCCCAGCTCATTCATAGATTTATTTAGCAAACATTGCATTTGGGTTGACAAGATCAAGAGAATGGAGTATAGACACAGGTTGTTGGGTCAGGCAGTCTCCCCAGAGGTTAGTTTAGGGTCATGTTTGGAAAGAAAGCCAGGACATTAATAGTTGAAAAGCCAAGGATCAGAATTGACAGAGGAGTAGAGGAAAAGAAATGGGGTTCTGGCCACAGAAACAAACAGACAAGGAGAGGTACACCCACAGACACTGTAGACTGCACTAATGGAGAGCGCAGTGACAGCAGCTGACAAGCCTCCTCCATGAGCTTCTGGTGCAAAGATAAAGATAAGCTCACACCTCACCTCAGCCCCTCACAGCCCTGATGACCCTTTCTGCTCCCACATGCTCTTCCCCAGGCCTCACCATGCCACCATTATTGCTTGGGCAGTTCTCGTTTCTCGCCCCTCCCGCCGACTCAGGTTTCTTGCTGCTCTCACAACTTCTTCCTTGGTTCGGAAATCTCCCAGGGACCACTCGTGCACAGGGCTCTCCCCATACTGTACCAGTCCTACCTGAAAATAATAAACCATGTACCCAAATGGGATGTTTGCCGAGGCTGGAGAACAAAGGATGGAGGGGAAATGAACACCTCTCAGGCATGTCCAGCCTGCAGCCTGTGGGCCCCAAGCAACCGCACGGAGCAAAGAACGGCTATGAGTATGGCCCGCACAAAATCATAAACTAACTTCAAACATTATGAGGTTTTTGTGACATTTTGGCAACTTAACTGCACAGTTGTTGAGCGTGAGTTCTCTAGATGGCAACGTCACGGTATGATGTCAAGGGGTTGGATATGCCTGATTACACAGAAGGGACCACGAGTATTTATCTCTTTCACTCCAGGCCCATGCATGCATTCTTCTCTTACCTGTATCTGCTCCGGATCAATAAACAGCCTCCCTACCAGCCTCCGAAGGAATGTCTGGACCTCAGACCAGGGATAGATACTATTGGAGCCATCCAAAACAATGACGACATCCATGTATGTAGGACAGCCTAGAAAAGGGAATACAGTGACGGGAAACGAAGACATGGCAGGGTGCTGGGGCGGAGTCCACAGGGGAAAGTGTCATAGGAGTGTGCTTCAAGGTAAGTGTTTATTAGGGACTTCTTTCTTACATACAAGGAAAGGACTATGCCAGGTCCTAAGTGTAGAAATGAATGAAAGAAGAGATGGCCAAGTGTGAAGAATGAAATATGCTCTACTCTAAGCTATGGGAGACTGAGAGAGCATCGCTTTTGTATGTCTGTGTGTGTGTGGGCGGGGGGCAGTAATTGAACTAAGGGCTACTCATGTACTACGCAGGTCCAGCCCAGAGGGTTATTTCTGATAGTGGTAAACCAAAGAGGCAGCAGAGGCCACACATGATAGTACGTGTCTATTATCCTGGTACTTGAGAAGCTGAGGCAGGCAAATCCCAAGTTCAAGGGCCTCCTGGGCTATATAATGAAACTATCTCCTAAAAGGTGGCAAATAAGGAGGTCTATGAAAGGCTGGAAGAGAACTCAATGGCCGCGTGCTCGCTAGGCATGCACGAGATCCACAAAAATAAGATAATGAAAGCTCTGAGAAAACGTACTGGGGGAGAGCACATTGTAAGCAAAGGGAAATAGAGGTCCAAAAAGAAACGGAACACAGAGGAATAAAAATGTAAACTTGATGGCTGAGGATGTGAGGAGGACAAGCTGGGGTTTTAAAGTTGATTGAGCCAGCTCCTGGTGTCTCGAGGCTCTGGGAAGGAGTCTGGATTCTAATCTGTTAGCAAACAGCAGACCCTGCTGCAAGCACAGCTGGGAATGAGGACAGCCAGGCAGACCCTCTGCCAAGCTTGGTCCTATTTCCCCACCCAGCATCCCCATCCTCACGTTGGGCAGTAGGTGCCAGGCTTCCCCGGGGCTGAAATGAAGCATCCACATGGGCACATATTCCAGAACTGAAGACAGAGCTGCCACAAGCACGCGACCAGAGAGGGGCACAGGCCTGGAGAGGGTAGGGGAGATAGTTATTCCCAGGCCTGGGAGGGGCCCCTCAGAACATGTATCAAGTTAAAAAAGACACTGCGATCTCTCCTTAGGTACCCTATCTTGTTCTCCTGGTGTTTTTTGTTTTTTGTTTTTTTAATTCCTTGACTCTTCTGTATAGACTAGTTTAATGCTCTTTTCCCTGCCATGAGCTCACCATAAATCCCCCATCACCATGTGTCTCTAGCAGAGACATGCCGAGGTGCATATTCACGGCAGGCTGAGATGAATTTCCCAGTTGATAGTCACCTGGTTGGAGGAGGGGTAGAAGAGAATGAAGTCATGGGGGTCAAAGGTCAGGTGCTTTCGTTCAGGGTGGTTTGGGAAGAGAATGAAAAGGAGTCAGTATTAAGTTGAGGCAAGGTCTGTACAGGTTATGGGGGCAAAGAAGCTGATGTACAAAGACTTGGTTTCTGGGTGTCAAAGTCAGGGGTTAGCAGGGGAAGAGTCAGACATCTTCTTACCCAGGTGGCCCTTGGCACATGGGGCACTGTGGGATCCCCCTATAGAGCAGCGATAAACATCCCCCCGCCGGTCACCTGAAGGCCCATCCCAAGGGGCGCCCACCAGCATCCTGGGAGAGGAATATGGATATAGGCATCAGGTGAACACGGCTCTTAATATAGGCAAGAGGAAAAGCGGACAGAGGTGACAAGTTTAGAGTCCTAGGGACTTTCAAAAACCAACTTAGAGACCCATCTACCTTGCCTCCCTTTTTACCAGTTCTAACACAGTCCCAATCCCATGGTCCTCTGGTTTCCTTCTCACCATCGCTGTCCACCCCCAACATGCTGTAAGACGCTGTATCCAAATTCAGCCTCTGGTGGCCCTGTGAATAGGCGTGGGTGATGCTCATCCAGATTAAATGGGGAGCAGAGACCTGGGAGGCCAGGACCATAATTAGCATCAACTGGTCAGCTGAAGAAGGACTGGAGAGCACGAGCTGCACAGGACAGGAGGGTGCACTTCCATGCCAGTGTGTCTGCCTGATTGCTTGTAAGTGCTCCTGGCCTCTGTCAATGTCGTGTACTCAGAGCCCCAGGCGGGATGATTCTCTTCCTGCGTGGAGTTCCCAAGGTCCTCTGCCATGCTGAAGCACAGCTGCATTTCCATTCTCACCCCTGAAATCTCATTCGCAGACGCATCTGGAAAGGTCAGCTTACTCTTTCCACGTCAGTCCTCCTACACACCCGCCTAAGCCGTGAGAGTCAGGAAAGGGAGAGGACCTTTCTGCAGACACAGAATAACCACCCTTTCAAACTCTACCCAAACCCAGGGCCACAGGGAGAAGAGGAGGGTGAGGAGCTCCGAGTCTGGGTGTCTCCTCTTTCCATTCTTTCTTGACATTGTCACACTTGCTCTCTTTCTCCAAGGTCTAGGATGCTGGTTGCTTCCAGCCCGACAAACCTCAGTGCTAATTAACTGGGTGGAACAACCAGCCTGCCCACACACATAGTTTGCCATCTATCCTTGTTAAGGGTCCTACCAACCCCTCAAAAAACTTCCCCAAAACTTGCTGCTTATCTCCTCAACCTCCCAACTACCCCTCGCCCACTCCCAAAGTTCCCTCAAACTTTAGCCCACTCTAAGGGTCTCCAGTTGTGTCCTGCTGATCCCTTTCTTCTGACCCCAATTCCCATAAAATCAGAGCTGGTATTTTAGGAAACAAAGATTATAGGGTACCAGCAGGGAAAAATTCCAGGCCTCTTGTCCCTCCCATGCTTCTCTTCTCCACTGTCTTGCCCTTACTTACATTCAAGCAACCCACTCTCAGCCCCACTCCCACACCCCAGCTTCTGTAACTCTAACTCAAACTCTGCTCACTTTCAGAAAGGTATTTTGTGTGTGAGCCTTTTTGCAACCAGGAAATTGGCTGGGTTATAAGAGCAGGAATTGTAGCTCACTCCTTAGATGAACCCAGAGTTCTGACCACATAGTAAGGCAATTATGCCTCAGGCACCGGGGAGCACCAATGGTAGGGAGAAGCCGGGAGGGTAATAGTAGGGACCAGACAGGCTGCGTGGATGAGGAGAAACGTGTTTCTATTCTGTATCCTCATTTCTGTGGAGTTCAGAGCAAAGGTGTTAGATAACTAGGTACAAATGTTACTCAAACCCTAGGCATCTTCAACCTCTGTCATTTGGGTGGGAGTCCAAAAATATGAGCGCACACATGAAATATAGTATCAGTACTAAGCTCTGACCCAAACTCCCGAATAATTTTAACTGTAACGGTCCCAATTCTGAACAATGCACATATCTTCCATCCCCAACAGAAACCAAGAAGTTTGACTCCCTCACCTGCCAGCAACACCAGGGACAAGAACAGGTGAGGGACGGAGAGGCGCGCCATGCCTGCTTGTCCTGTGTTGTCCAAGAAGTCCTCTGTGCCTCTCTGTCTCTCGCCTTTGCTGTTTTCTTTACTTTCCCTCCTATCCTGCCCCCTCCCACTGGCAGCTAAAAATAAAGTTGGAGGGAATGGGAGGGGTGGTGGTGGGAAACTGTGGGGAGCCCCAGACCAAGAGGACAGAGGGATCTCAGTCCAGGTCTCTGCCTTGGTGCTGCCCCCTGGAGGTCTCAGCTAACATTCAATGAGAACACAGATTTGACCCTTTCTGAGGCTACTTTCCCCACTGTTTATCTGTTCAATAGTGATTTCCTCCTATTTGGAAGGAAAGTAGGAGTTAGAGACAAATTCTTTTTGCCTTATTAATCTCAACCTGAGATATGTAAAAATAAAAGCTGATAGCCGTTGACAGCAGTGTCCTCCTGCTGACTGTGTGGAAGGTAGTCCCACTGGGTGACCTTGCCAGTCCACTGAGCTCTGGTCACATTTATGTGTTTAATAGCTTTTGGAGAGTCTTTGCTGTGTAGTGTCAGTATAATAGCTTTGGTGTAGGATATCCCACCCCCAATTTAAGGAGCCTATAAATGTCTCAAAATTGGTAGAAACATCTTAGTACTTTTGATTGTCCACTACCTACTAATTTCCCCTAACACTTAAGTTTTCAATGAAAACCTGTAGTTATGATGTTAGTTGCCAATGCCACAGAAACCCATCCATAGTCACAGGAACTAAGGCTTAAAATGACTAGAACATGAGAGGCCAGACCAGAGGTCAATGACCAGCTGGATAGAGTGGCATACACCTGGTCTCCTAGCCTCTCTAAAATCTGAGGCAAGAGAACTCAGTTTCAGACTAGTCTGGGTAGCAGTTGAGACCCCTTCTTGAAATTGAATAAATAAGTCAGTGAGCAAACTCATCTTTAATTTGCTGACCTGGAAGGCTTGCTTGCATTGTGGGCATGGACCACAGTTATTTACACAGATTCATTATACAGTATTTACAGCAAGAGGCCAGACACAGTATCAATCTAGATAGTTAAAGAAAGGGCAAGAGGCAGCTGAGGAGGGAAACGCTAATGTCAAAGTGTAAGCAGACCCTGGAGAGTGTGGAGGAGAGAAGGGTCAGTGCCAAGTCAGGAGGGAGGCTGGTGAGGTAGACACAAGGGGACAGGTGTCAAATGGCCTTGGGTGCGGACATGTGAAGAGTCTGCTGGGATACGACATAAAGCCTCAAAAATCATGGAGGGTGAAGGAGAAACAATATGCTACACGCTGCTTCAGATGAAGAATACAATTAGCACTTTACCATCCAAACTTACACTTTCCCTACCAAAAAGTAATTCTGTTTAAGTATCTGGACAGGGGACTAAGAAAGACAATTCTGTCGCATGGTGACAAATTCTTAACCAGACTCAGGACAGATAAGGGAAGAGGGCAAAGAGATTCTGGCACGGACAGAGAAGCTCAAACGCCTCTCAAGGCGTACTCGAGTCTTTCCACTGTCATTGCCTTCCTGACCTCATCTTTGGCAAGGTTCTTCCCTTCATCCTAAGTGTCTGGATTGTGACTTCAATCAGGGAGTCGAATTAGAATGAGGCTGGCACATGGGGGACAATCTAAGATTCTGTCTCACAATTCAAGACTCCCTCCTTATCTTGTATTGGAATATCAGGGCTTGAGTCGTAGCCAGGGACAGATTAGGGTGAGAATAGACAGAATGGAGGAGATGAGGCCACAGAGGCCCACAATGCCAGGGCCACAACGCCAGAGGCCTAGTTTGTCCAGTGGGATGAAGAGGTCACAGGCATTTCTGAGCACATCCAGTAGAAGAGGGGGGTGACCTCGAAGGACACGAGCCAGGAGCAGGACTCGGAGTCGAAACTTCAGAGCCAGTTGTGGCAGGCTTGCCCCTGGAGTCCCTGGTCCTCCAGGTCCCCCAGTCTCCACCCCTCCTGGGACTCCAGAAACCTTCATTCTCCTGCCATAAGCTGAGGTCTCTTGTTCCATCAGTAGGCGGATCTCGTAAGCATCACGGCTCAGATTCATGATGAGGGAAAACAGATAGTACCTGAGATGCACAGGACAGATGCACAGGTTAGAAACGACACACCACCTGTTCTGCATACCCTACACAAACTGAACACTTTTCTCATGAACTGCAAAGGGATTCCACATTAGAACATCAGAAACAAATGCTATAACCCACCACTGGAAATGTCCACTCTGGGGACTGGTGAGCCGCCAAGACAGAAGATCTAAGTTCAATCCCGAGAACCCACATGGAAGATAGAACTTTTGTTCTTAAGTTATCCTCTGACTTCCACAGATGCCATGGCACATGCATGCACCCATTTACACAACATAAATAAACAAATAATAAATAAATGTTTTTTAGGTTAAAAACTTTATCCTGCCTTAGAAGTGGGGATATAGCTCACTGGTAAGAGTATTTGCCTTGCATGCATGAGTCCCTGAGTTCAATCTCAGCAACACCAAGAACAGAACTGTCCTTCCTTCTGGACAATACCCTAGGTTCAATAAATCTGACACAGAAAGACACATGATCTCACTTACATGTTAAATCTAAATAGCCTAACTCACTGAAGCATGGAATAAGATGGTGGTTGCCAGGATCAGAGGGGATGAGAAACAGGAAGACATTAGTCAACAGGACAAACTTTCAGTTCTACAAGATAATTAAGTTCTGTACATCTAACATACAGCATGCAGCATGGTGACTACAATTAATACAACTGCATCACATAACTGCAATTGGCTAAATGGGTAGATCTCAGATCAGGTGTTCTTAATTAAAAAGATGTCACTATAAGGTTATGATCATTTTTTACATTATTCATTTTACATACATACACGAGTGTTTCACTGCATGTATGTCTGTGTACCATGTGCATGCCTGGCATCCAAGAAGGCCAGAAGAGGGTGTCAGATCCCCTGGAACAGGAGTTACAGGTGGTTGTGAGCTGCCATGAGGGCACTGGGAGTTGAACCGTGTCCTCTGAAGGAACAGTGTGGTGATTTGAAAAGGAATGGCCCCATAGCCTCATGTGTTTCAATGCTTGGCCCATAAGGAGTGACACTATTTGGAGATGTGGCTTTGTTGGGAGTAGGTGTGGCCTCGTTGGAGGAAGTGTGTCACTATGGGAGTGGGCTTTGAGGTCTCACGTATGCTCAAGCTACCCCCAACACACTATGGGTCAGGATGTAGAACTCTCGGCTCCTTTTCCAGCACTGTGTCTGCCTGCATGCTGCCATGTCCTGCCCCCATGATAATAGACTACACCTCAGGAACTGTAAACCACCCCAAGTAAATGTTTTCCTTTATAATAGTTGCCCTGGTCTTCACAGTGTCAGTAAAACCCAAACTAAGACAGACAAGCAGAGAGTTCTAACTGCTGTGTCATCTCTCCAGTCCCATAAGTATACAACAGTCTTGATTATGTGATCATTTCACACTGCATGCTTAGATACATATAGTTATACACCAAAAATAATAAAGAAAAAAGAACTCTCCTACTACTCTATTATTATTATGTGTTTATATATACCTCAAGATCCTGGCTTAAAACTCTTAAGTGTTATGAAACCTGCCAAGATTGACTTCAAATTTCATTTTTGAGACAATCCCTATAACACAGCACGCTGAACTGGAGAGATGGCAGTGGTAATGTGCTAACCATGCAAATGTGAGGACCCAAGTTCAGATGCCCAGAAGAACCTATGTACATGCTGGTAGGCATGACGATAGGGATCTCTCAGAACAAGATGGCTGGTCAGACTAGCCTCGTATAGTGAGCTCTAGATTCAATTGAAAGACCTGCCTCAGTGAATAAGGTGGAGAAACACAGAGACAGACTTCCAAAGCCAAGCTTGGGCCTCAGGTGTATATATGTGCCCAGGCATCATTCACACACACTTGTGAATACACACACACACACACACATACACACACACACACACACACACACACACACACACACACACGCACGCACGCACGCACACACACGCACACACACACACACACACCATACTTAACCTGACCCCAATAATGCAAACTATTTTGAAGAAACAAATTTAGTTGCTCAAGAGATACATACAGCCTAAAGTGGTGATTCATTCCTATAATCCCAACACTTAGGATCAGGAGTTCAAGGACAACCTGGGTTACATCAGACCCTGTCTCAAGAAAGAGAGAAGAAAAAAGATTTATACATACTTTAGAGCATTTAAATTCAATCTTCAAGAAAAAAAAAAAACAAAGACCTTCTTCCCCAAGATAAGGTCCAGAAATATTGACTGCTAGAGATGTTAGATTATAAATTCCTTAAGCACAAAAATACTCTTTTGACCCTGTAGCATTGGCTGTCAGAACTTACTATGTAGACTAGGCATACCTCAGACTTACAGAGATCCCCCTGCCTTTGTCTCCAAGTGCTGGAATTAAAGGCATACACCACCATACCCAGGCCAGAACAAAATTTTTTACCTTTTTCTTTTTTCAAGACAGGGTTTTTCTGTGTAGCTCTGGCTATCCTGGAACTTACTCGTAGACCAGGCTGGCCTTGAACTCACAGAAATCTGCTTGCCTCTCTGCTTCCTGGGTGCTGGGATTAAAGGCCTGTGCCACCATACCTGGCTCATTTTTGTTATGTTTTGAGACAATATTTGTTAAACTATGTAGTTCAGGCTGGCTATGAATTCCCCATCCTGCCTAAACCTTCCTAGTGTTTGATTTACAGGCATTCATCAGCTAAGTCTTAAATACAAAAGCCTATGAGGTTTTTGTTGTTGTTCTTGTTATGTTGCCCCCCCCCCCCCCGGGGGGGGGTGAGTGGGTGGGGGTGTGGGGTGGGG